AAAGTTTCTCTTTTACTGCCTATATCCGTCCCAAAACACAAGTCCCACGATTTCACTTTTCCAGATAACCTACCCTTCCACGTCAACCCTACAACCACCAATCCTTACGTCACTCCACCTCCCACTTCTCTAGGTTAAGACTTCCTTAAATAGTCCTGATTTTCTTAATTTTAGTTAGATTAGACCTGAAGTCCTAAGGGACAACATTATACTTTTCATACTTTGTACTCAAGTTGAATAAATTGTAGTTAAGTTAAAAAGGATTTGAAGTTTAATAAATAAACCGATTGGAATCCAACAATATATTACTATAAAAGTAACAGTTAAGATTATAAAAGAAACACAAAAAAGTTTGTAAGATCTATCTCATAAAAACAATAACTTATATTCAGCGAAGATAACTTTTATCCATTTTCTTGCCCAATAATTATGTCTCTGCATAGATGAACGTCAAAAGCAAAAACCATTTTTCTTGCCGTAGGTTATTCTATATCCATAAAAGTATACAAGGAAAAGCTACCAATCATTTTGAACTTCTAGAATTTCGTATGTATTGTTAAATAAATATACGTCTTAATCTATATATAATTTGACAAACGACTGAATTTGTTGTTAGTAACGCTCGACCGATTTGTTTATGGTTAGTTTCTGACTGAGATTTGAGCTAACCAGATATTTTTCCCTCTCATTGAGATCTTGCAATTAATTTTATAAACGTTCTAATATTTCTTAGAGTTATTATTTCGTCATTGGAAATAAATAAATATTAAAAGGAGAGTTTATTGAAATGACAGACCCAAATGCAGAATCTAAAAAAAAAAACGTCTAATCTGTGCTAGTTACAGTCACAAACTAAAATAAACAAACCAGTCGCATGTTGCTATCAACAAATTCTGTCGTTTATCAAGCCATCTATAGATAGACACGTATATATATTTTACAATATATATATAAGAAATTTAAGTTGATTGACATAGTAAAATCGAAAATACAATGTTTTCCTCCAGTAATAACTCGTTATTTTGTGTTTCAATAATCTGTAAAGATGGCTAACGGCCGTCATAAAATTATGGAAATTTGCACACACTTTTTCCGAGATCTGGAGAATATATCTGCCAAGTTCCAAGTGAATCTGAGTTGTTGGATAGATATACAATGTTTGTAACTCTTCCTTTATTTTCCCTCTCTGTATTTCATATCCACATGCTATCCATATTATTTTTTTTTTGCATTTTCGTTCAAAAAACACGAAAGCATTTCTCCTTGTGTGTTAATGAACACATGATATTTTAGGGCTGTTGTAGTTTTTCTAATCAATTTTTTCTAAGTACATTTCTAACTCAGAAAAATGATCATCATAAAGACTTACGTACTCTCTAAAATAACGATGTAAGTTCTCAAATTATATTATAACCTGAAGGCTGGAGATCCATTAAAATAGTAAATTTACAACGACTAAAAACTTATAATCAATGAATAAATTATAGGGAACTTATTAATCATGTATCGTTTTACAAAAAATTCATCTACGAATAACGTAACGAGCTCAGATATAGATTATCGTAACTTTTATAGCTACAAGCGTAAGTATTTTGTGAACTTACGTTTAAAAATCTAATTTGAAGAGAAAACTATGTAATTGAATTGAAGAAGACTGACGTACAGTAAAATTTGAGGTAAATTGAATTATTTCAATTACTTTGATACGAAAATATATAAGAACATGAAATTGAAATTAATGAAGTCTAATATCACAGTGATCATAAAAAATCAATAATGATTGAAGTTTCCATTTAAAAAAAAAAAGTTTTTGATTTTTTCTAATGATTTTTTTTTATTTACTTTTAAATTATGAATTTTATTAATTTTTATAAGTTTTGTACATTATAATTCATTCTGTTTTATTCCTTAATAACTATACTCTACAAAATAATAGTTGAGTTCCATAATTGGAATTAAAATCCTGTGTTAATCGCTAATTTTACAAAAAAAATAGTTGAGTCTTTTTCGAACTATTAATAGTAAAGCCAACTATATTTTTCGCTCGGTGTAAGCAATTAATTAATGGTCACAAAAATATTAATAATAAAAAAACGAATGAGTCGATATAATTATTCATATGAAAGAATGTTTCAAGACAAATTAGTTGGAGTAAAATGACTCTGTGTAACAGCAACAAGTTGAGTGTAGGAGATGCGCAGTTGTTCTAATTTTGATACAAGTCGTATTTTGGTCTTGTACTAATTAAATATAAACAAGCTCTGTTACAAAAAAAGTATCAACACATTATTAATAGTAAATTTACATGAAATAAACTCTATGTGCAATTTTGTCTGGAATGTGGGGCAAATAAAACTTCTTCGACTGCTTCATCACATACAGATTTAGTATTAAATTCTATTTAAAATTCAAAATTTGCGTTATTGATACATGTTGATATGAAATTACGGTTTTTTTTAGAATTATTCATAAAAGAATTAACCTATTAAGGCTCATGGCTAGTAACCGCATAGACAGTGCTCAAATAACTATTGGAATTATAGTATGACTAAAAAATAAGGTTGACGTATTCGTGATTTTTCGACCAATCATTATGTCTTTATTTTCATAAATAATTTCATATGTTTATTATTAAAATATCAATGATTTTATAAACCTATGCTATGAGTGAAACACTAACAAAGACTTTCTACACCTATACTAATAGCTTATACTTTTTTATGTAGAAAAAGTGAAAAAAAAGCTCCAAAAAATGTTTTTTTAACAATTTCTCTCTATACTTGAAAATTTCAAAAAAAATATCATGACTCATGATTTTCCCATAGAATTGGACGGAAAAAAAACAACTACGAAATACGTTAACATTATTTTTTAGCCATGCTATGATTTCAATAGTTACTTCAACACTATCTATGTTGTGCTAGCCATGAGCTCTAATGGGTTAAGCTGATAAATGAATTATTTTATTTCTTCAAACTTATTGTAATTCAATTTACCTCAGTCTCCCTTATATTAATAATAAAAGCATGCTAAATAGCTGACAGCTGTTCCAAAAAATTGTACGGTCTGTCAATCTATTCGTTATTTAAATAGTTGCAAAACACTAAAAAAAATTTACTAGTTAGTACTTTTATTATTATTTTTTTTGATATTAAAATTCTCAAAAAAACTACACTATCAATATTTGCATTTGATAATAAACTAATAAACTTGATCAAAATTATTATCAAACAATTTGTTACTTTGAAGGAATTTCTATTCTATTTGTCAAACTTACAATAATGGAAGCTCAAAAAAGCAAGTTGAAAATTTCAAGAAGTACTTGCATGTCATTAACATTCATTTCGGGTTATATAAAGAATCAAGAATAGTCTACATATACTCTCAGTCATTATATATTTACAGATACATGTGCAAAGTTAAAAATACATTACATAGTGTATCAAGGGAATAAAGTACACCATTCCAGTCGTGTAGAAATCCTGTCTTGAAATTAAAGTTAAGAAATAGAATATTTTAGATTGAAGTGTTATAAATCTATTCCTATGTTGTAAATTTTCATTTTTGCCATATTGTCACAGAATTTAGATTTTATTCTCAATTCAGAGACCATGACGTCTTTGTCTAGTACAGAGGAAAAACATGCGTGTGCGCATGCGCAGGAACAAATTTTTATCATATTCCCGGCGAAAATTAACCATTTTTTTCTGCTTTCAGGAAGAAAAGTCATGGATTGATTTTCTTAAAAAAAGACATTGTAGACTATTTTTTAAAAATGGAATAGTGAAAAGAATAAAGTGGACTGTAAAATCAATGAATATAATACGACTGATTCAAACAGTGACTACACTTACACTGTAAAATAAATAAATATTCACTGATTTTTCAGTTCATGTTTTTATTTTCACCGTTGCATTTCTAGAGAATAGCGTTATCTTCGTTCAAGATAAAAAACCGTTAGCTTTCCACCCTGAAAATTGGAGAAAAAGTTAACTTTTAGCAGCGATATAATAAAAATTAGAATGTTTACGATGCAAACAAAATAAGGCATTTTTATATAGATATTCGCTTGCCCACGGCTCGGGTTGCAATAATATGTCCAGATAATAATGCCCTATTTCGTTCCCTTGGTTAACAATATACTACTTCAATGTTATGCGAAGCAAGTGAGACTTTATAGCTTCTCATGATCAATGAGAAGTTAACTCAAGTTTCCGTAGAATTGTGAGAAAAAAAATAATCCATCATTAATATAATTCCAAACTTATTCCTCTCTTAAAAAAGACATGGCCGGTTATCGTCATAATGTCATCATATCCGTCATCGTTTTATTCGGGTGTCGATTGGCTGTTAGAAGTTATGGCGGGAGAGGTTTTTAATTTAAAAAAAAAATATAATTTTTTTTTTCTTATTTACGTATGGAATACGATGCTGCACGCACGCCTGTGCACTTCGAGTAATAATAAAATCCTAAACTTTGTAGCACCCGAAATCTTAGAAAATAAATCATTTTCATACGAATTATGAAAACAAAGTGATTACAAGTTAAATATTTATATAATTGATAAGTCGTTCGTGCATGAGATTGCGTATTTTGGAAATAGATTCAAGCAATTATCATTAAGCAATTAATTATGTTTACTTTAGTACGTAGGTATACCTCTGTACTACAGTAAACAGATAAAAGATAAAAGAATCGACTAAGCTAACACAAAAAAATACTATTTCTGCTATGATTCATGCATGATTGATAATAAAATTAAAGTAATTATAAGCAATTTTTATTATGGGAAACCAATAAATACTAATAAAATATTAATCACCATAAATAAATAATTCATTACTCGTGAATGCTTGATAAATATGGGATTTTAATTAAATATTCTATTCATTAATTAATGTACTAAATGTTTGAAGCGGGTTGATTATTATCGGCTAGTGTGATTTTACCCATGAATAATGAAGCTGATAAATATTTGATAAAGTTGTAGAATACTCACGGTGGTGGGTAGGATAATTATTGTTGTTACTCGACAAAAGTCGGTAATCCATGATGTACAGGTTTTTTGCAGAAACACTTTATTCACGATTTATATCAATGTCTTTCAACGTGTTTTATTAAAAAAATTATGTCAAAAGTTTATTGTGCTTGTCTTCCGTTGAGAAAACACAAGAAAAGATCGATCGATTATTATAATACATCACTACAACTATTTTAATGATACAAGTATCAACATCAATATGCACTTATTAAATCTCTATTTAGTTTATCACTAATCACAAGCAATCCTACAGAGTCTTTCAAAAATTTATTTTTCTGTACTTCACACTCTGATGATATTGAACACAACTAAAAAAACAGAAATGAATTTTGATAAATAATATTATAACTTTTTTGTGATAATTTATAACTTTTATATTTATCATTATCAACGGTTGAATGAAAATTTTTACAGAACATTGTTTTTTGAATAATAATCACATTAATTATTCTTAATTAGTATTTGGAAATGGAATCAGAGCATTCATCAATTAATAAATATAGACATTAATTGTAAATTAACATTTCTGATTTGATTTAAACAGTAACTATAAAAATAGGTTAAACCTTAAGAAATTTGTCAGAAAATTAATAATTATGAACTCAAACTTATTGTAACTACCTCGGCATAAAAATGTTCATCAGATTTTACGTGTCCTTAATCATCCATTCATTGCTTATCTTTTGTTTGCTTTGTGAACATTTTAAAAATTATAAATATCTCTCAGTCTTGTTTCTAGCATCGGATTCGGATCAAAAGTATTGTTATAAACTTTTTCAAACCACTCATCACAATTTCAATAGATTAATTTTTGTAAATAAATTTAAAATAAATAAAGTTATACATTAGTCTAAAACCATAACTATTTTTTAAAAATATTTGTAATGATGATCAAAGTTTTTCAGACTGATGAGATCACCGATAGACTTCATTGATTAGAAAAACTTCAGTTGCTCCAAAACACTCAGACTGGAAAGATGTAGTTTTTCATCTTGGTGTTAATGAATACATTTTAGTAATTTTATGTAAAAATATGCTATCATTTATTTGATTTTTTAATTTAATTTGGTCTATAAATTTAAAACTCGTTCAAAAAGAATTTAAAAACATTTTTAAGATTAAAAAATTTCATGTGTCATAATTTTGAATAAATAAAACTTTAGATGCTAAGAGTCAGATTTAAAAAAAAAAAAATAATATTTGGTGCACATTTGTAAAGCTCTTTTAATTAATTTTCCAATGCATCATACATGTTGCAATGAATAGATGATACGTTTCGAATCTATACAGTGTTTGTTTCAATTCAATCAACATCTATTGGTCAGTGAATGATAAAACAACAATATTGTGATTGCCGGAATCGCCACACACGATGAACCCTCTGGTAATTATCATCAGAAGAACACAAGGTATATAGAAGTACAACATAAACAACAGAGCATATAATAAGGTATACACGGCCAACGTAATCGTTTAAACGCGGACCTCTCGATTCCGCTGGAAAGCTACCCTTTGTGCATGCATCTCTGTATAAACAGTATATGTATATAAACATTATAATATATTGAAAACTATGTATAGAGTGTACAAAGAATCAAGGAGAGAAGAGATGAAGGAATACAAATATTTATAGTCTATCCGCGGATGATTATAAATATATCGACCTATATTAAATTTTATATCTCCGCTAATCATTGAGATCACATAGGTTAGCACTTAACGGATTTTTGATAAAATTCTGTATTAAATTTTGCATGAATACTGATAGCACGTATTTAAAATTTTCATTGTTATTAATCTATAATGTATTTTGTTAAGAAGACCAATTTATTCATTAATTGAAACAACATTAAAAATCCAAGTATGTAAAAATAAAACCCTTTGAGTGCATAAAATGTCGAATTGCTATCAACAAATACACACTACAAAGTGTGCTAAAGCTAGGCTGTATTAAAGTATTATTACCTCAATATTTTTCCATAGAATATAATCTATCCATCAGCTTCTCTTTACTGAAAAATATTTATAAATAATTTGAAAAATACTATACAGGGTTGTGGTGAAAATTTAAAAGAATTCAAGTGTTTAATTTCTAAACATTTGGATTTGCAGTAATGTGTACGAAGTATAATGACAAGAATACAGTGATAAATGAATAATAATTATTTTATAATGAACAGCTACAAAAAATGACTTTTTTTACTTATTTTAATTAATAATTATTACACTATTTATACGTTTCACAGTGTGTAAAATCTATAACTTGTTTGCAGCATTTAATATTGAAGAAGCTTAGCGTGCTAGAAATGTCTACAAGAATGACGCACTTAGATTTAAAGTGTAAGGTATTTATCCAAACGATATATTTTGATAAATACTTAAACTCTAGTAGACTTGCAGTAAATATGTGAATTAATGTAAATATTATAATTTTATAAATTACTCATAATGTCAAGAATTAACATTCAATTTGAAAGTACACTTGTCGTGAGAATGCTCTATTTATAATCCGTCGTTTTCTGATGAAGAAAAAAAGATAAGCTGAATTATGTAGAAAATATTTTTGGAATCGAAAAGCTGTAATAATAACATTAAACAACAATAGATACACACAGACATACGGCAGTGCCTGTTTATGACTTGTTTTCCATTTTGTAATATTACTCAACCGTTCTTGGATTACCCTTTCTACGAATTCCTCTGCCAATGATCCAGCGGTTCATGTATGATCCCAACAGCATTGAGAAGGCCCACACTGTAAGTTCTTGTTTATTTCTATTTTTAAGTATTTTTTTTCTGTTGTACTTTTTCAAATATTTCCTTTTTCTCGTTATCGCTAACTCACTTTGTTTCTCTAGATGTCTGACATTTGAAATCCTAGGATCAACGGAAAAGAAGAAAAAGTTGAAAAGAAAAGTATAGAGAAGCTGCAAACTCGCATCGCGTAACAAAAGACGCCGCGAAGAACCGCAAACAAGCGGTGGGTCCTTGTTACATCGAATGGACAAGGACTCGTTCACACCGGAATGCTAAAGAAAGAGCCGCATGGTGAAAGAAAAAACTTCGACCATGGAAGCGGGAAAAAATGAAATGAATGAAATTTAAAAAGGCGTGTATTCCATTAACATATGTATAAAAATATCAATAACATTTTATATTTACCTCAAACAGTAAAAAACGGGATATTAATCTTCAATCAAAACAGTGGATTAAATTTGGAATTAAAAAAAATATTTATTTAGAATTTCCATGATTAATTTGTTAGTCAACAACATTTAATAGCATTAAGACTCAATATCTTTTTTTTAATCGCAATATTTATCACACGAAAAAGCTCTATAACAAATGAATTTTAAGCAATTAATCGGATTTTATATCCATTTCTACTCTCGTCAAATACGTACAACTCTGTACTGCTCTTGTTACTCTCCATTATGACATTCGAGTATTCCTGTTTCTACTCCCACGCTACAGTCCGAAAAAATCACATGTAATTTATGTCGCACGCGAATCATGTCAAATTATTGAATAATTAAAAAAAACACAAAAATTACGAGGTTTACCTAGACATACTGGGATATATTAAATTGAGATATTGCAACTTCTCAACAGGAAATGTCGTAACTCTCATCCCATAATATCATTTCTATGAACACCTTAGAAACCAAAATACTATGAATCATCACAAAAAATTAAGAGGAAGAAAGTGATTTTATTAATACCGTTATTTATTAGTATAATCAACATTTATCTATAGATGATATTTCAAAGAATATGTTGTTATTAATATCAACGAATTTCAATAACAATAATTAATCAATTCTTCCATTAGATACTGATTAATAATTATTTAAATAAAATTTCTTAACTTAAAAACCATCAGAATAAAATTGATGAATACATTAATATTAAATTCAAAAAACGATTTTAAATTTCTTATAACGCCATTCCTGTAAAACTTAAAATATAAAAGCAGAGATGAAAATAATTAATTTTTTAAATTATGTAAATTAAAAGAATTATCAAAATGAAACGTAGTGTACTGTAATAATGACATTAAAAACTAAGTATCTGATAAATAACAATATTTTACATTTTACTATTTGTGTATGAGGTTATTTAAGAAGACAATTTAATGAAATTTATCGAACGCATTTCCTATAAAGAAGATAAGTATATTAACTGGATTCACGTCATGCGTAATGCTTTTTATGATCGTAAGGAATTTCACACTTGTACAAATTACGTTATTACAAGAGAGATCAACATGGTTATAAATCACGCAAGTAATTAAATAAATATAAACTAACACATAAACTACCAGAGTAAGAAGAATACAATATCATTTTCTATCAATAAACTTAGGACATATGCTTAATATAAATTACATCACCATGTCAATCACTTCATATATCTCATTAAAATGCATTTTCTTTCATACTAAAACAAAAAGTCAATCATTAACGAAAGTCATCAAATAACATTTCAATATTATGTTATGTTATTAATAAAACATCTACTTTATACATTAGCAGATCATTACTATTGTTATTATTTTCGATGAATGAAACAGAATTATTTTTTTTTCTCATGGTAACAGATTAAGAAAAAATAGAGCAATTTACCATATTGATCTAATGATAAAATAATTTTCGGTCCGCTTCATTTTCATCATAAATTCATAATAATATTGTAATAATGATAACACTTGCACACGTCATACCTTTAGTTTCACACTGTTTTGTTGTTGTGTACACAAGGGTTAGCTTAACATTTAATTTTGGTTGAAAAAATTTTCAAACACAACAAAAGGCTTTGCAGCTGTTTGATGATAATGAAATTAAAACTGAAAAATTAATTTGTTTTTCGATTCTTTCCATTCTTAATATCTGTAAATTTATTTAAACCATAAAAAGTTAATTTAATTCGAGGCCACATAATATAAATATAATAAAATAGGGAATTTGTATTGACTATTCTCATTCTCAAGTTATAATATAAAACACAAGAGTCGAACAAAAAAAAGAATGAAAAATAAAGAAATGGCAGCGCGAATATGTAGAAATGAGTAAAAAACTTGATGACGAATGTCAAAATCTCTACCAATTGAGTTTGGATGCGTTTGTGACAATGAATCATGAGATATTGAAAAATCATTCAGAGCAAATACTATGTATATATGGTCAAAAAATGATGTTTATCAAAAAAGTAAAGCTGTACATCTACCAAATTATTCAAAAAATTATGAAGCAGCTCTTACTAGTAGGTATGTAATAAATAACCCGAAAAGTGTAGTATAACAGATAGAAAATGATTCAACAGCGTTATAGCGAATGTGTTCTTTGACGTCATTTTCTATGAAATATACAGAAACATCATCAAATGATAATAATATGAAATAAAATGATTATTTTAGCTTACTAAGTCCTAAATGTACCTTTTCACGCCTCATAAATAATTGTGCTGCTGAAAATTTGAATTTGTTTTGAAATAATTTTTTTTTTAAAAATTTATTTGGTTGAAATAATTGTTTATTATTAATATTCATTTGATTCAACTTTAAAATAAAAATATTAGTCTACTTCCGGTCTGATCGAAACAAATTTTATTTAATGGTTTATATTGTAAGTATGGATGTAATTGTTATAAACAATTCACAATGATTCATAAACATATTTGATGAGTACAATTAATATGCAGTTATGTAATTTTATATTTTATTCACACGGACTTCATCTGATGGTTGATAACAACATACATCTATTTTGAACTGAATATAACTAATTATATACTATTGATAATAAATATTTAAAAAATTAGAAATACTATGACATTCTATCAAAAGTAAGAAGTATTGTTGAGCTATTTTTCCATTAACCATGTTTTCTATTTTTAATAGGTTTTCTCTCATAAAAAAATGAATTACAAAATCGAATTGAGTGAAAATTCAATCAAGTGTTAATTATGTAATTATGTGTTCAAGTAATTTAGTTTAGAATTCATATTGTCATCTGTTTTCAAGATATGTGAGGTAAAAAACATTTATTTATTTCTTTACGATCGTGTTTTTATTGAGACAAGAAATTACTAAGATCAATAAAATATTTTGTCTCATTTTCCTCCACAATTTTTTAAGAAATTTAAAGAATAGCATTTGAATTTAATATATATTTACACATGTTTCTTATTCAATAAATTTTATAACTTAAGTTATTAACAATTAATACTTTACTTTCCCAATTATTTGTAAGTATCCCTGGATGAAATGTTCAAATAGAGTTTTCTGGTCAGTGTTAATCAGGGAAACTAGCGGTCGATATTTAGATCAGTGATAGTTGGTGTATAAAATTAGGGTCTTAGTTCGGTGACGGTTACAATTTTTGTCGAAACTAATATTAAATACATTATTAATGCAATAAACAAACGGAAGTGATTTGTTGTTGTTAAGAATTATTTCTGCTAATAAGAAATGTTAACAAAATTAAAATAATTCAAGTTTGCATTTACTCAAAATATATACATATACATATATTAATGGAGTTATTTGTAATCGGACAATATTTGCCGCCATGATGTAAGTTAATTTATTCAATTATTCATTAAATTATTTAGCAGCGAACAATTATGCCTAAATTCAAATTGAAAAGAGCATTTTCAACTTCAAAGCGTAAGTATACTTCAAAATTTGAACTTCCAGAAATGAAATTTATTATAATTTCTAAATGGAAAGTTAAGAAACTTCTCACTTTTCACGTTATGAATTCCGACAGTAGATCAAGTAGCTTGAAATTAACAAATAAAAAAGCAATACAACAAATTTATCAATATTATGTATAATGTTCACCGAATGATCAATCCTATCAAACTCATAACATTAAAATAATTGAATGCATTAACTCGATCCGTTCATTCTTGAACAAGTTAACTGTGTCAAGTGGAAATACGAATAGTAGCAAGATACTTTGAATCATTGCTCAAATTCTCATTGAATCAGCTGATTTAATTAAAAAATAACTGTTACCTAAAAAACTATTTTTGTGATTCATTTTTTCATTTGAAAAGTTAATATTCTTTTATATATTCATTTGACACTTATGTGACAAATATGTACACACAAATAGTTGAGACGGTAGATAAAGAATTCATCATCAATGCTATATTAACTCAAACGATTACTAAATTATCAATGGTAATTTTCGAATTTTTTTTTCATTTACAAATTTACATATATTTATCACAACAGATAATCAATCAATTTCAGTTTTCTTTAATAACTTCACAAAAATTTAATGCGGTAAAAATGTTTTTCCATATAAATATTATTCTAAAAATAATTATGACAATATTGTTCCAATAAATCAGACAAGTAATTAACAAATTTTACTTCCTCACTCCTTTTTAAATCAATAGAATTCAAAAATACTTTCACTTAAATGTTAGTCATAATATTATGTTGTTAAACAATAACATAAATAAAAACATTTTTATACACGCAAACAAATTGTGTATATTTATAGTAATTTTTTTCCGTGACACGTGTACTACTTTTCTAATGAAATATCATGAATCATAATTTAAGTATTAAGTAATGATACAACATGTATTTATTGTGAACCAATACATACTCTATAATTGTTTGATAATCAAAATTCAATCTAATTCCACAAAAAAAATAATCATAAAAATTCACGAACTTCAAATATCTCACTTTATCATCCATCTCATTTCATTACTGTCTCGTGAAAGTTTGAATAAAAACTGCCGTAACAAAACAAATCCTTCTTTTTTTTGTACATATAAAATAAGTCAATAAGTATAAAAATATGTGATATTTTTTTATTAATTAATTTTACGATTATCGTGGGAATTACATTATTTCCAAATCAAACATTGACAAAGTAAGACGATTCAACCTTGAAGCAAACCAGAAGTGAAAAAAATTTAAAGTGAGTTCAGTTAATGTGTACTACTCTATACATAATTCCGACACTCAAATCAGTCATGAAATTTGAATGATCATTTATTTGAGAGGAATTCAATAAAATAAAATGCGTACGTAATTTCAGATGAAATTTCATTATTACAAAAGAGCTCATAATTCGCATTTAATTCACACTTCCAAAACCATTAAAATATAAGGAATGAAATTGCTGCTTCTAAATATTTTCGGTAGAATAAGATTTGATTTCTATAAAAGTAGTACAGGTTCATTCATTATCATTGATTCGAATTTTTATTCAACCGATTGTTTATTGTGATTTAATGATGTTTGAAACGTTATGGTTTATAGAAATAAAAATATTACATGAGACGCCAGAAATACATACAAAGTGACTCAAGTAATAAGAATTGTGCACACTACTTCCAGAATAAATCAAAGCAATACATGACCGCTCTAAATTACACGATCAACACCCACGTGTATATCGTTGGTATCAATGCAACAATATTGATTAATAATAACACTCACGGAACTCACATATGATAACGAAAAAACAAAACAATGATAACAAAAAAATCACTTGAAAACACAATAGACATCGAAAAAACACACTTTCTCATATAGGTCACTTTATTACGACGTTGAACAACGTAAACAACCACAAGTAACTTAAAAGATACTAAATATAGACTTTCTTAACCATCAAAAAAAAATAATGGAGTCAACAACCGCGTTAATTCTTTTTACGTCGCGTTTATAATGAGTAAATAAAAGCTCAAACCGTACGAAAACGTAAAACTACACATCAATAGTGATCTAGTCACTCTGACGGTCACTTAACCAACTATTTAACGAATATATGGACCACAAAGGTAGCAACAATAGTATTGTGCTGTTCTTGTATTTGCACAGACTGATTTGATTGTAAACAAACGCAACAGTCACGAATAGATTAACCCTGGACACCTGGCGTCATATAAAGGAACGATCAAACATACTTCTTACATGGAGTCTCGCGTAGCACTAAACCCGACAATTCCCGCCACCTCGCATGTAGTCATCGAGCGTTCAATCCAGTAGGCGCACAAACGAGCACATACACAAGCGAAAGAACCAAGTCACAGGCATCAGCGACCGCCGCGCAGGGCCAAACACTCACACAAGTAAAGAGAGAAGAGACTCAGGAGAAAATACACATCTACTTGCTTTAGAGTGGAGTATTCTATAGATATAGAGTATGAAGTATAGGTTGGGATGGTTTTATGCGCAGTAGTATAGTAGTAATATATTTGTAATTGTAGTAGCTTATATATAGTATTATATATCTGTATAATACAGCAACTCGTGGACACGCCGTTACGCTTCGTCTCTCGTGCGTCGTCTGATTGTCCATCCTTATCTTTCTGCCATCTCAAGAGACCGAGACGCGTCTATTTTCATTGGTCTTCTCTCGCTCGGCGCCGTTGAGCCTTGTGAGAGTTGAAATGAAGACAACTAACGTCTTGCACATAGTCGAGGACTCTAACTTTATTTCTCGCGTGTTTTTATCACTTTATCTCTGTTTATTTATCATGAATTTTCGACTTCTTTCTCACTCCTTCAGCGGTCTCTTTAGTCTCTGTTGTAACCCCTTTCTTCGCGCCTACTCATTCCACTCGACCAGATTCTTAGCCACTATATCTACCCACTATACGACGCCGACGCAAAGACATATACAAAAAGACGTCTTTTTAGGTCCGATTCACATTATTATATTGTCATGTTACTTGTTCGTTGTTGCTCTAATATCACTGATCTATCAGATTTTGCCAAACATTGCATGGAAATGGTCAAGTTTGAAATAACTCAATTATTATATACCGCAAAATCGCCATTTAATTGGAAGTACAGTTGATAGAATGGGTCAGAAACAAAATCTATATGATGATATATTAACCCTCTGGAGAAATTATAAAAAAAATGACAAATTGACATGATAAGAGGAAATCTTATTTAGGTTCCTTTTTGTTTTATTTCTTGTCCTGAATCTCCTTTCTGTCCTTTTCGTGAAACCCCATGAGATTAATCTCTATTGGACGGTTATTAAATTGAAAACGACAATATCAGCTAGTGTTATAGTATGAGTTGGTACATACTCTTATGTACTGCAATAAAGACGAGAGAAAATGAAAATAGTTTGTGTTTACGTTATCCCACACGTGTTTCACTATGTGAGTGTGACACGCATACGATTTACAATATATTTTTCTATGAAAATAGAAACATTAATGCGTACATATATTTAATTATATAAACTCTAAGTAATATCATAAAGTTGATTATACATTAGCCCTATTACAAGCTTTCAATAAAGTTTTTTCTCCAATTATAGAGTTTCAATATACTTAAGTCAAGAAATGAAACTACTTTAGCCAACAATTTGAATGCATTATTAACAATAATTTCCTTTTTTTATGAATTATAGTATATGGGGCATCGACTTTAACATTTAAAGTATGGTTATAATCTGATTTATTATAAAATTTAGTATCGAAATAATAGGTTAGCTACCAGACTGCGGTTTTTAAAAAAAAATTTTAGAAAAAATCATTTATATTGATCACATTCAAACTATTTTTTAGTATTATTATGGTTAAAAAAAATATAAAAAATGTAGCACATTTCGATTTTTTATAACAATAAAAAGTTTAATATTTAAAATATAGTCAACTTGTCGATTTTTTTTATGAAAGCCAGGCGAAAAAGAACCATGATACAGAACAACGAATTTTAGTGGCGTAGGTCCTGGGCCACCCTTCAGAGGGTGAGGTACGCAGTAAAAGAGACTTTTACAAAACGTGTGCGCGGCGGCGCAAAGGAAGTATTGTCGGTTGAAGAACTTGTATAGCATATAGTGTGCGAAGTTGTAGATTCGTGTGTCGTAGGAACGCTTGTATTATGAGCGCACGCGCGTCTACCGTAGGACATATCCCTATGCCAAGAAAAGCACACGTTGGAATCGCGAACGCCAAGGGATTCTGAGAAATGGGGCGAGCATGGAGGGATAACAGCAAATGAGATTGGACTGACTTGCATGTGTGCATTTCACACACCAACACACTAGAGATTCCTAGCGACGTTCTTGTATGACGTAATATGACGTCACAGATTCCTGGAACTTGCGATCAATTCTCTCTACTACGTTGGAGCTTTTTGCATGTGCAGTTAATGTGTACTTCATGAATAACTGTAAAATGATGCCGGAAATTGTCAATACTTTTTCAATTACATTGAATTCACACTATTTGAATTTACATTTGTATTGTGCATAATTTAAATGGATTGAATTCACATCATTGGTGCAAATATTTGCAAAAAATTCATTTAAAAATTATTTCAAGTGGATACATTTTAATTTGATGATGAAAATTTTTCAATTATTAAATTATAAGAAGAAATAAATATTTTTAAATATTTTTTTGAACTTAATTTTATTGTTGGTTGGGCAATATTTTGGTATTATTTACCGCTATTTTATAAATTTAATTAGATCTTACACTGAGAGAAATAAAATAGTTGGATTTTTATTCAGTGCATTTCATTTTTCACTAAATAGTTTGTTGATTGTAAATTATTCCTTTAATTAAGTAAGGTTAAATTTTCTGAAATATAGTAATATAATTGTTAAGAATTTACACACGATCACTGCAAATTTCAAATTTGACAGTGTTTTAAAATGATGTCATCCATTTGATTAAAATTGTAGTAACTTTTTAAACACTTCCATGTGCATTAAAAGTTACTACTATATTAATCAAATGGGTGACATCATTTTCAAACACTATGATTTACAGTGATATTGAGCCATTATTAAAGTAGTGTCATTATTTTCTTGTTCTGTTGAAATTAGAAATTATGTCTTTGATAGATAATTAAATTTTCTAAGTATTTCGTAAATTATTGACTGATTGAAAAATATTCTAAAATAAAGCAAAAATTCATTAATTATTTTATATTGAAATATAATTTTTTTTGAAAATAATAAATTAGCATCCATATATAATGAATACATTTATTTGTTATATTAAAAGAATTATGTTTTCTTTTAAATATACTCCAAAAAATGAATCAGTGTGTATGCATTGTTTCATATAATGGTATTTTTCACTATCTCTTTGTTAGAGAATAATGAATTTCTACTCAAATATCGTTATCCATTAATATTTTTTAAAAAAGAATTATTTATATATTAAAATTTTTTTTTGGTATAAACATTGGAAAACTGAATGTTTTATCTCGTAATGGTAGAGATAATGTTATTGTTGTGAATAATAATAACTGTACACTTAAAATTATTTTTTTCTGAAATCAACTATACAATTAGGGGGATACGAAGTAAGAAAGGCTAGGATCCATAGGACAAGACGATTTTTTTAAATTGTAAAATGACTTATACACATAATAATGTCATTTGAGTAATAAGCATATTTTCAAATCAATGTTAACTTTTGTATTAACAGCTTCGGAGGGTCCATTTTGCCTCACTGAGTTACCAAAAATCGAAAAAGCCGTCTTGCTCCGTATTCTCCTTTACTTTTTTCTGATCAAAATTGAATTATCAAAGTCGTTGAATGTTTTTTTTCTATTCAAAATCATAAGGTAAATTTTCTGTTAAGTCAAGATTAATTTTTTCTGGGAATTTGAGTTTTCTATGAATTCACCTTTCACTGAATTTATTTCATAAAAGAGCCATTAATACTACGTATTTTATAATAGTTGAATAAATATAATATAAAATGTGTTATTAAGTTTTTTAAATATTTGTTTAATTTAGTACTTAGCAGATTAAGTAAGAGAAAAAAAACGAATTAGACATAAAAATCAATTAGAAAAATTCAACAGTCTAATATTTATGGTACATATCTATAAAATTAATGTTATCTTATGTCTTCCATTTGTTAGGTTAAAAGTCATTTCAACAGACCAGGTATAATACATCTAGCATACGATAAAACTGAATAAATATTTGCAGCAACGTGACCACGAAAACCACATTGATGTGAGTATTATCAGTAGTTCATTCTTGCCAACGAAGCGTTAGTTGTGCATACAATAGAACATAGGTGTTGGATCAGCGTACTACGTCAACGTCAAATAGTACCGGATGAGTGCCAGTGAATAAGCGTCACAGCAATCTAAAGAATACAAGTGAACATGGTATCTAGTACTATTTCTACACACTTATATATGTATACATACGTAGAAAATATATTTACCAGCATACACATGTAAAAAGAATAAAAGGAATAAAGAATAATCGAGCTCGGAGAAGATAAAGAATCGGACCTAGGGAAGAAAGAATGACAGGAAAAAACAGATGGTCCTGTCTAGTCTAGATACTGGAGCTAGACTAGATGGCTAAGAAGGATAAAAAATAACGAAAGAATGAGAGAAGAAAACGGTACTGAGGTAACTCATTGTAGTCGCGTAGAAATTATAGTAGAAGTAGTAGTAATAGTCGTAGTATAGTAGTGGTTGCAGCCCGTAAGTAGCAGCCAAGTGATGCAGAGACATTAGAGGAAGTGGGGAGCGTGGTTGACGAGAGGTAGAGTGGGTAGTGGGTGTCAGAGGAGGGAGCTGACAGGGAGAACGAGAGAGTGAGTGAGAATCGGTTCAATAAATGCAGCGGACGTTGCCCGAGGTATAAGAGCAGACGAAGAGGTCGATTGGTGCAAAAGAGAATGGCTGGTATCACTACGGAAAGTGCGAGTAAGATCGAAAGACAACAAACCCACGCCTGCGCCACGTGGGCTTAGCGTAGTAGCGTCGTCGTCAGTGGGAGACTGAGAGAGACAAAGAGAACTCGCCGAGCGTGAATCAGACAGCTGAAAAAGAGGGGCATTGCACCAGTAGTAAACGAAAGAGTAGGACAGACGATCCCAGACGAAAAAGAGTCAGACTGGTGGAATTACATACACACGAGTGAGACACCAGATGTGGTACGTAAATGGACGCGCCACATAGCATGTTCCT